CCAATTGCAAAGATTATAATCTGGAATGGACCAGGGAATTACGGGTTCGGCAAGGAACAAACGGAATGAGAGGAGGAACGGAGAAAGGCATTTGAGAATGGGCCGATCAAAGATTACGAAAAACGTTCAATTTCTGTAATCTTTATTCCCGTTTGTGACATCCATGAGCTGAATTGTCTTGACTCTCAGTATAAAGGGACTCTAGGGGGAAGCGGAGGACCGCGAATCGGCTTAGAAAAATGAGGAAATCCGGCGGATTGGAGCAAGGCTCCTGTAGAAATAGCTCTGGACGGATGACTCTCCTCCCTCTCCTTCTCCTCTCCCGTTCTCACCCTGCTCCCTTTTCTCCATTTTCTCTCTGCTACGTTTTACTCAGAGGTTTTACTCCGCGAGCGCGGTCCTGCTCTGCCCGCCTGCGCCGCGCCGCGCCGGCCGCGCCGCCGGTGCCTCACCTCACCTCTACCCCTTACCCCTTCATCATTGCGTTCCCCTCTCGCTTTCCTCCAGGTTCGGTAGCTGGTGCGGTCCTGCGTCGCAGGATTCTCTCTCTCTCTCTCTCTCTCCCCTGCGCCGCATGCCGCTGTCGGAAGCCAAGCGCGACAAGCGCCCAATAATTATTTGCTGTCTTCTATTCAGTATTGTTTCCCACATTCTTAGCCATATTTATTAGTTGTTTCAAAGTATTTTGTTCGGCAAACACTGCGAAGCTAATGGACGCCACGTCAATACAATCAGTTGGATTTTCATTTTAAAACTTGATACACTTACAGTATTTTCATCGTAGAAGTCAATTTTCGCCTTATTACTTTTGCTCGCTTGACCAAAATTTATCATTCGTGGAGTTTATGAATTGTTGGTCGGGATTAGAAAAAAGCTGTTATTCTAGCTTAAACATTTTGGGCATTTAATGGAGAGAACATTAAGTAATACTACATTTTCTATCAATACTTTTGAGTGAAGTGTTCGTTACCTATATTTGTCCGCCCTTTTGCATTGGTTTAAGAGTTACCTTACCCATGAGTCTCCAAAACACACTACTTCCTGGAATTGTGCTCTTCTCAGCTGACTCTCATATTGGGTCTAGTAGAAAAGGGCTGAAAAAGAGTTGCCGTTGAATAATAAAAGGCATCGAAGGGTGGAAAAGGGTAAGTATAGAGATGGTATCAAAATGACTCAAAAGGTAAGTAGGAGGGGAAAGAGGCAGTTTTAAGGGAGTGAGATTGGGCTGAAAAATCGCGTATTGATGTGAATCAATTAACATAAGTAAGGTCAAAAATGGGATTTTCGATGAACTTACCATCAGGTATATCAACAATTCAACGTGCATTTTCAACCGGAACTAGTGAAATTTATATTTGAATAATTGCTTTTCACTCTGATCCTAAAAGTTTGAAAATACCCCCCCCCCCCCCCCCCCCCCCCCCCCCCCCCCCCCCCCCCCCCCCCCCCCCCCCCCCCCCCNGGGGGGGGGGGGGTTTCAACGTAGCCTAGCCGGATGGATCTTGGCCTAGCCCAGCCCCCTGCTTCCTCTCCTAAAGGAGCCTCCCTAGAAAATTGTTAAAATTTAGATCTTCGCGAACCTCAACTTACTCTATTTTTCGGATGAAATGTGATGGAACGTCTTGAAAAACAATATTTATTTCATTCTCCCTTACTTATGATTTCCATTTGCCACTTTATTTGAGGTATATCCAATCGTTACTCCACAGCGTTAAGAATTTTTTGAGTTATTTAAAGGACCCCGCACACCTCTTATGGGAAGCTGCACCACGACCGATTGCCTTCTGACTTAATTATGGACTTCGATTCTCCTCAAGATGCTGATCAAAAGTTATAATTGCGCCAACTTTCTACGATGCACCGTTTTCGCAAAAAAGCTAAGTGGAGATTCAATTATTTGGCGATAAATAGCCAGAAAGATTCCTCATTTCAGTACTCGAGTGAACAAATCAGGGGAACTCCCGCACCGACCGGCAGTCTTATCTCGGATTTCGCACGCCGTTTTCCTCGACCACCCATCGTGAGGAGCATATGAACAGGAAAATGAGCGTCAAACGGACGCATCGAGAGCGGGAGGAGGGAGGGGGATAGCCCTAGAGTCGGCAGGTACAGATAGGAAGACGGACACGCGCTAGGTACGTTTTTTCCTTATTTAAATCGGGCCTGTTCTCAAATGCTTTGTTCTTTTTTATTCATAGTCGCCGAATAATTGAATCTTCACTTAGCTTTTTTGCGAAAACGGTGCATCGTAGAAAGTTGGCGCAATTATAACTTTTGATCAGCATCTTGAGGAGAATCGAAGTACATAAGTCAGAAGGCAATCGGTCGTGGTGCAGCTTCCCATAAGAGGTGTGCGGGGTCCTTTCTCAAAAAAACATCTCTCTGCGTTTAAAACATGCTTGAGAATTGTCTCATTCATCACCAATTTAGATCCAAGTGAGCAACATTTTATTGAAATGGAGGACATACATGCTCCGGAGAGAGCAATCGCAACCGCGACGCGACGACGAGAAGAGCGAACAGGACAGCGCATCATCGTTTCTCATCAGAGGCAAAAGCAGCGATCGCGCAGCGAAGGGCTCGGACTCGGACGGAACGTACCACTCTCCCCGCCCGCCGTGATTCCGCCGAGCCGTCTGGCTCTTGGCGCCTGGCGCTTATAGCCCATCGCATTCGCAACGGACACTGCTCATGGCCCGCGCAGCGCGCTGCGCCATAACCGCGTTCGCTTAGCCGCTTTCCTACTTTGGTGGCTGCTTTAAGTATACGTATCTGTCTCCTTCTCTCTCCCTCTGCTCCTCCCTTTCTGTTTTTATTTACTTACTACTACATTTTATCATTTGCTAAAATTTAAAACATGGAAAATAGGTGTAATTTTCCTCTTCTGAAATATTTCGGCAAGCACTGCTTGCCTTACGCTTATTAGGACCGCACGCTACTGACACCCCCCCCCCCTCCACAATTCTGTGTCATTATATACCTACATATAGGTATTAGCATAAGTTTGGTCATATAAGAATTTTTCGATCAAAATACCATTAGTTTGCGAAGTTTCAACACGAAATGTCAACCAGGACGAATACAATCTATCTATCGGTAGGGCTGTTCTATCGGTTGTCGGTAAGCTACCGAAACATGTTCCGTTAAGAAAAAGTTCCGATGAGATCACTCTTGCCGATAGCGATCAGAGTTTTCGGAGCTGGCGAAAATAGGCTGTTGCCATGTGTACATCTATTTCATGCGCCGCGCCGCCGCGCCAGGCAATCTGATAAACCGACACAAGGGGCAACAATGCATTGAGTGCGAGCTCTCAAAAATCCGATAAGGCCGGCTGTTGTCGATATCATCGCCACTGTCGGTACTCTGGTGCCAGTTTCAATAAGAGACGATATCGAAAGAGTTCCGGCAAGAATGGGCCTGTTGCACCAATTTTTTTTATTGCTTTAATCGAAAGACCTAAGGCTCCTGATGTCACAGGAATTTTCCCGGAGTTTTTTGATCACCGGAAACCCCCAAAAAATCAACTTAAAAACGCCTCAGAATTTGGATTTTCAAAACGGTCGTTTCGGGTCCGCCATACTTGTGACGTGAAATGATATGACAGACCTGGTTTCTTCATCACTTACAATGTATTTTCCCGTAAGGAAATGGCAGCCGCTTTTCAAATGCAAATATCGAGTCAATCGCTAATTTTTTGTTCAAAATTGTAAGCAGAAATGGATTCCTCGTACGTTTAAATGGTTAAAACCTTCATTTGATAAATAAGAACCGACGGGATAAACCCTATTTTTAAGGAAGACTGTAGTCAATGGGCGATTGTTTACATCTGCTTAGTGATAACAGACATGGACATTAGCTCAATATTTGGCCATTTTCATGAGTTTTTACTTGTTTGTCACTATTTGAAGGTAAGTTTATTTTGTAAATCAATTGTCTAGTGTCTAAGGATCATGTTAAAAGCTGTAAAGGTATACTTTGTTACTTATTTATTCAGAACACACTCCGGCAGTCCAACGCTCAAACCTGGATGTAGCGAGTCAGTTGTTATATCTTACTATTTCACCCTTTAATGCTTCACTGAAGACACCAAAATGATAGTATCAATCATTGATGATAAAAAAAACTTACCTTTGACAATACTGATGAGATGAGGAGACCGGTATGTTTTAGCTGGAGGCAAGGAAAGTAGACGTAGGATCCTTCTTCGATTACCAGACTTTATCGATAAATTTTTCTGTATAGTGTTACATTTAAAACACACAGGATTTTAAAATAACATAAGTTTATAAAACGTGGGAACGTTCTGAATGATATTGAGATGTTTGTTGAAGAGTTAAGAATGATTTACACGCATTGAGAGAACATCCAGGGTTTGAGCGTTGGACTGCCGGAGTGTGCTCTGAATAAATAAGTAACAAAGTATACCTTTACAGCTTTTAACATGATCCTAAGACACTAGACAATTGATTTACAAAATAAACTTACCTTCAAATAGTGACAAACAAGTAAAAACTCATGAAAATGACCAAATATTGAGCTAATGTCCATGTCTGTTATCACTAAGCAGATGTAAACAATCGCCCATTGACTACAGTCTTCCTTAAAAATAGGGTTTATCCCGTCGGTTCTTATTTATCTAATGAAGGTTCTAACCATTTAAACGTACGAGGAATCCATTTCTGCTTTCAATTTTGATCAAAAAATTAGAGATTGACTCAATATTTGCATTTGAAAAGCGGCTGTCATTTCCTTACGGGAAAATACATTGTAAGTGATGAAGAAACCAGGTCTGTCATATCATTTCACGTCACAAGTAGTCACAAGCATAGAATCCACCAATCACAAGTATGGCGGTTGAAAAGCGACCGTTTTGAATGGGTCGGTTCCAAAAACAGCTTTTTTTTGAGTTTGAGAGGTCATTTCAAGGTTTTTTAGTAGCGCCATCGTTCTTTTCGTGAAATTTGCCATAAGAATCAGGCATCAATTTGCAAATCCCCGCACCTTGCAACAGGCCCATTCGTTTGAACACCCCTATATCTATCGGTGAGTACCTTTTCTTTTTACCCCCGAGATCATATTGTGTTTGTGTTAACAAATAAACAAAAGAAAGGTCAAAAATGAATTCTACGATCAAAAGTGCCTGAAGTCACCGAGTTTCAACACGAAATGCCCTCAAGAACGAGTAAAATTTATCTTTGAGAAACTTTATAGTTTTATGTTTCTACGGAAAGTTTGAAAGAACGCGTAAAATTGTGTAGGAATTTGCGTCATTAAATTAAGAAAAGTAAGGTCATAAATGAATTCTACGATTAAAATAAAATTAGAATACTTTTGTTTGTTTCGCACGAAATCCCCCGAACGAGTGGAATAGCCGAGACAAGTTGGTTGGTGAGGCGATGACGGGGCCGGGTAGCGCTTCGGCTCGAGCGGGTCCGAGAACGGAGAGGCGGATTTCTGGACACATTTTGTGAATGATCGATTATAGCTACGTCCCCGTTAGAAGCTATGGTAATGAATCGATTGTTCGATATTCGAGCAATCGAGTATCTCGATATTCGATATTTGTCCACCTGTAGCGCGGAATTCAATATGGCGGCCATGTATAATTTTAATTTTAATTATAAAAGTGCTTTTTGGGATGTAAGCTCTTGAGTAATGTCATTATTTCAAATTATAAATGATGGAAGCTTCCTTATTATTGCTTGTTTGATAATGTGAGGGAGGAGCGCTGAGTCTTCATGAGTTTTTGTTCCTGATGTGCTTAAATCGATTGATAAAATGTTTAATATGTAAGGGACGCAAGGAATATGTAGCTGATCAGAAAACCTCATCGTAAAGTCGTGTGAGTACTTTCGTTTTCATTTTTGATCGTTTCCCCTGAAATTTTAAGTTTGAATGCTGCCATGACCAGGGATTGATATATAAAGGTAGACAAAACAAATCATTCAAAGTCGCAATGACCGAGTTTCATTCTGAGCCCTGGTTCACCATTTTTGTGTATTATACTAGCTATTAATACAATGGCCATTGCTAATGAATGAGATATTTGTTATTTAATGAATTTACGGTCTACATGCTACTTCAATGCACACTGGGTCTGGCTCTCACACTGCATGCTCATGTTTCGGAGGGAAAATTTTTCATGTTTCGTACAGCGTTCTTTTGTTTCTCAGCCAATTTTTTCAGCAATTTTTTTTTTATTTGTGTCAAAAAAGTAAGGTCAAAAATGAATTCTACGATCTAAAATCCGCAAGGATCCCAAGTTTCAACGCGAAATGCCCACAAGAACGAGTAGGTAAAATTTATCTTTGAGTACCTAACACTTATAGTTTTATGTTTCTACGGAAAGTTTGAAAGAACGCGTAAAATTGTGTATTTGCGTTATGATATTAAGAAAAGTAAGGTCAAAAATGAATTCTACGATCAAAATAACCTAGGAATACTTTGGCACGAAATCCCCAGAAACGAGTGGAATAAGTTGGTTGGTAAATAAGGCGATGACCGGGGCCGGGTAGCGCTTCGGCTCGAGCGGGTCCGAGAACGGAGAGGCGGATTTCTGGACACATTTTGTGAACGATCGATTATCACTACGTCCCCGTTAGAAGCTATGGTAATGAATCGATTGTGCGATATTCGAGCAATCGAGTATTTCGATATTCGATATTCGTCCACCTGTAGCGCGGAATTCAATATGGCGGCCATGTAATCTCTAATCATGCAATTTCCCACGCAGGTCCTGCCGGCCCTTAGATCTAGATCGCTCAAATAATTTTAATTTATTCAATTATTAGCCGTTAAAACTGTCATCTTCTCTGCTCATTTAGAAGTATTTCACCAATTCGAGACGAAGATTTAACCCCAGGGTTAACGAGAATCAAGGAGAAGCCATGGGAAGTGCAGGGAAACCGAAGTTCAGAGTGGAGTGGATCTTTACAGGTACAAGTCGTTTTTCTTGTTTTCCTTTCAATCGCCTCTCATTCAACTAAATTGCGGAAGCTTGCACTACTGATTCCTCTATCAGAACGTAGTGAAGTTCCCATAACTTACGATGTTACAACAGAATTGTCATCAGTCTCCGGTGACAGAACATGACTTTTTGTCTGTTGCTGGACGTGTCTTGGAGACTCCGCTGTGGACCAAGAGGCATCTCTTATCTCCTCTTAGTCAATCAATGAATGCAGACCGGTTCTTAAAACTGTGTTGGCACGCTAGGACAAGATAAGGAATGTGTGAGCTTTGCGCCTGTGAGACCTTGATCCCCTAGGCCTAGGTATGCGGATGAGATTTTCAAGGATTGATTCCTGTGTGTGAGACTGTAGCTAACTTTAAAGAAGGAACCTCTGTGCACAGTGAAGCGTGTTTAACAGGTTTTGTGTCACAATCCCCTGCAAATAGCATGAACTGTGAATGCTGCTGCCATACCTAATGATCTTCCAATTTCGGACTCCACTGCCAGGTATTTCCCGCCTAAATTTCCTCCCCAAGAATTGTTACTTCCTTATTCCCTAAACGTCCTCTAACTCTCTCCTTCTTTCTCTTTCATGTCGTTTAATCTCTGAAAGAAAGAGTTAGTTTGTCTGCATGTAGTCATGCTGTGATAATGAGGCCAATTTCATCATTTTGAAAACTCACTAAGACCATCTCTTCCCTGCGAAACGATAGCTTAGCCACTGTTTCACCTGATCATTTCTCTTTCTTTACTCAATGGGCCAGTTGCGCTGGTAACAGAATCATGTTTTGATGCTTGGTTCCAGTAGATAAGCTCTAAATAAAAAGATCTGTCCCAACAGCAACTCTACCTTGAATATTAACGGAGATATCTCGCCTTGAAAAACTGGATTTATGACGTCATCCACTGCGGTGCCACGTCCCACCGCGGTGGATGTTATTTGACCAATTTTATCTAATCTCCACCGTCAAGCTTCTCTGGTATTGAATCGTGCAACACTCAAGAATATTTATTTTCGGTTTACAGTGTACTCTCTGTTTTTAATTGATTAGAGTGGGTATGTTTTCAAAACCATTCATTTCTCTAAGTTCCATGTACAACAGTGCTTACTTGCCAAGTGACATTTTTATGTCTTTGATGGTTTTTTGCACAAAGGAGTCAATTTCTCAAAATGGCGGCAGATAAGGTAACATTAACTGATGCCTTATCCTACGTCGACACCTTAGATGAGCTTACGTTACCTGATGATCAACTGTGTATAGTAGCTCAGCTATGCTCTGTCATTTATCAAGCTAACTTTGATACCAACTTCGAAGACCGGAATGGGTTCGTCACTGGCATAGTAAAGTACATTGAAGAAGTCACCGTTCACGCCAGTTTGGGAAGTTTCACATTCCTGCTACTTGACCACCGTTAATCTGTTTAATTGAATGGATGATAAATGATAAATTATGGTTTTTAGGAAAATTTTGCTTTTCCAAGATAATTTTGAGAAAAATGAGAGGAAATAGTAAGTTTTTGGCAGGGAATAAATGATATGACTCTTTTACTCTTACCTAAATCATTACAGAGCCATGGCAGGAGCAGAAACATCGTATTCTAAAAGTTAGTTCCATGCAAGCGTTTTCAACTTAATGCAGACATTTTGAAAATTGGTAGAGGCATCTATTTTAGAATAAAATCAGAAATTTATGTATTTCTTTGACGGAAGTTCATGTGACCCTTGATTCCAATTTTAAAGATTTCAAACTATCCAAGGAATCCATTGCAGATCGACCTTTAAATGTAAATGTATCAATTTTTGAACCTTTATAGTGTTTGCACTGAAACAGTCAATAGGTTTTTTGATTGAAGCTTAATCGACACCGGTTCTGGTCGTTTTGAAAATTCAGAGCTTTTCCATGTTGTGAATTTGAAGTTGTCAATCTACCAATCCTGTAAAATATCTATTTGTAATGCTCCAGAATGAACTTTTGGAAGATGGCTTGGAACAAGTGGTCATGCTGTCAACGTGGCGATGTTGCTCTCGAGCCATCCCACAACCGAAGTCCAATGAGCAGTCAAACTGGGTGAAAATCTATGAAAAGACTGTTGAAGTATTAGCTCCTGAAGTGAACAAGCTGCTTAATTTCATGTATTTTCAGGTGAGCATTCTAATTTTGTCAGTTTTCGACATTCGGTAAGTAATTAAAGTGGTGTATTTTAGGTGAAAACTTGCATCACAATCTCTACCAATGTGTCTAAGAAGTGTAACTGATCTTGTTCGGGCTAGAAAAACATGTAAGAAAAAAAGGATATTTGAATGCTTCAAACCACAATTTCCACTTATCGCCACAATGCTAGAACTCAGTTTAGGTTACCCACTTGACACATGTAGTCTTTAGTTATATAATTAAAAGACAAATAACTAAACGAAAGTATATCAATTGCACTGATAAAATGATTAAATTAATTATCTTTGTCTTTAAAATTAAACATATTTATTTAATTAACTAAAATTACTTCCCTCTGCTTTTTAGTTCCGTGCAAAAACTGGTGATGGTGCCCATATTGCACAACTGTGTGATCTTTTATTTATTTAGTATGAATTGGTACAATTGAAACAATGAAAATTGTTATTGTACATGGTAAATACCGGTCACCAAGATTGAAATTACCTGGTGCATTTAGCAAGAAAGGGGTCTTGGCTGTGGACTTGTCAAAGGTCTTAGTCTTTTTGATTTTCATTCAGTTTTTCCGTCTATTGACTTCCATCTTATTTTTGCCAATATTCATCGGAAAATTTCATTTTTTCTAGGATTTATGCCATAGGGTTAGATCTCAATTGATTATACAATGATAAATTCTCGCTTGCCAAATGATAATTACTTTTTTGAACTATTGCCCTGAGGGAAGTTTCATGCTTTCAGAGAGGAAACTACTGTGTGAATCTTCTGAAAATTTTCATCTAGAGAATCATAAAATCATGAAGAATATTCAGTAGGAGTTTCAGCGAATTACATACATTTGCTTGATCATAATTGATGAAAAATTGGTGAAGATTCTGAAACACTGCAACTGTAGAGTGTCCTTTCTGTGCTTTGATTTTCTCAAAAATTGGAATTACTCAATAAATCCTAATAATGAATTTAAATTTCAGTCCATCATTCTCTTCATACTTTACTTTGATTACACAACACAACAAATTTCCGGTTTTGGTTTGTCCTTCGAACCAAACCAATTTTTTTCGTTTCCTAGGTGCTACAGTAGTCTGAAAATGCCCATAGAAACTTCAGGAAAATTGTCTGGTGCTTAGGACGCCGCCATTTTAAAGTTTTCAAATTTGAGAAAACCCACGATTAGATTTTTGCAAATATCTCCTCAACGGCTCATCCCACGAAAAAACAAAAAAACCAGCAGAAAGAACACAAAATTTCCTACCGAAATCACTCTCCCCTGTTTTATCTGGCTTACTTTGCTGGTCATAAAATTAACGTTTTCTTCAAAAATTAGCTTAAAGAAGGCGCATTTTTGCTGATTTTAGGAGAAACTTTGCTTTAATTCTCCAGCCACGATTATCTGAGAAAAAAACTGTTACGCTCATTGAAAAGAGCGTAAAATTTACTGCTGGAAAACATATCAATAGTTCCTAATCTTGATTATATTCTGTGAAATAGCAGTTTATTAGCTCGGCCCTTAAATTGTGACCATCTCCTTTCAAAACAAGAAAAAAAGAAGGAAAAAACCTAAAACCGAGGCTCAAACTGTGTAACAATGTGGTAAAATAGTGCTGGGCAAGACCAATCCACACAGGTTAGTCATTCCCGTGGACGAGTTTTGGTACTCAACTGCGCAGTGACGAACTATTGAGTGCTTGCAATGTATTTCTTATGGGAGCACCAATTGTGACGTAGTATTGAGTGCAGCCGAGTTAGGGCCGGGCGGGGAAGTGGCTCTCAAAAAGATGCGCAATGACTGACCTGTGTGGATTGGTCTTGGTGCTGGGCCCACACTATATGGAGGGAGGGGGGGGAGCCAAAAAGTTCAAACATTTTCAATCAGAGCCAACAATTTTGGGCTCTAATGAGGATCAAGAACAAAACTGATGGGAAGAGTGTTCAGCTCAGTTTGCATTGGACTATTAAGTTGAGGTTACGTTGAGAGATCCATAATTTTGGGTCTTCTATACTTCATCAGTAGATCACACTAGTCAGTGAATCCAACTGAAAATCTTGCAAAATCCAAGACAGCATCAAAGCACAAGTTCGAGGTTTTTTCTTGTTTTGAAAGGAGATGGTCACAATTTAAGGGCCGAGCTAATAAACTGCTGTTTCACAGAATATAATCAAGATTAGGAACTATTGATATGTTTTCCAGCAGTAAATTTTACGCTCTTTTCAATGAGCGTAACAGTTTTTTTCTCAGATAATCGTGGCTGGAGAATTAAAGCAAAGTTTCTCCTAAAATCAGCAAAAATGCGCCTTCTTTAAGCTAATTTTTGAAGAAAACGTTAATTTTATGACCAGCAAAGTAAGCCAGATAAAACAGGGGAGAGTGATTTCGGTAGGAAATTTTATGTTCTTTCTACTGGTTTTTTTGTTTTTTTGTGGGATGAGCCGTTGAGGAGATATTTGCAAAAATCTAATCGTGGGTTTTCTCAAATTTGAAAACTTTAAAATGGCGGCATTAGCTAAATCAGCACTTGTTAAGATTCCACTCGCAAGCAATTGCGATGCAATTGTCCTACAGCAATAAGAGATTGACAGCAGCCGGATTGTGAGCTTAGTCAATCCTCGATTCCTGTTGGATGACTACATTATAGTTGCTTGCAAACGATATGTATTCAAGTGCCAACTTAGCTGACGACACCTCTACCTCAAGTTAGCTGTATCGCCTCGGATTTTTTTGCACAAGTTTGTCCTACCTCTTGAAGGAATAAAGTTGTTTGACCAATTTTATATACTCTCCACTTTCAACCTCCTCTAGTTTTGAATCGTGCAACACTCAAGAATATTAATTTTCGGTTTACAGTGTATTCTCCGTTTTTAATTCAGTAGAGTGGGTATGTAGAACAAGAACTAAGGCATTTTGCCATATACCTTGTATCTTTGTAAACTTTATTTGAGAAGAGTTAAACTCCTGTTTGAGGTGACAACTTCAGCGGTAATCTTACTGTATCACTCTCCGCAGACTGTTTACACAAGTAAAAGTAGTCAGCAAAAAATTGATTAGTGTTGTAGTGAGTGGTGTTATTTTCGGAAGGTTGCTTTTGCAACATTAAAAACCTGCCTATCATATTGAAAAAATAAAATAAAAGAATAAAAGAATCTTGAATAAAAGAAGCCCAAATAATTTTTTTGTCTTCTTCCTAATGTAGATTCCTCCTTTTTACAGATTTAAAAACATATCAAAATGGCGCCAGAGCCACTGGATATCTCTGAGCATGAGTTGCTCTTCAAAGCAACCAATTTATTCAAACTGGCCTCCATAGATTGTTTCAGGTATGAGTTATAAATATTTTCCATCAAGTAACATTTTTTTGTTAGTCAATGAGAACTGGCATAATTTTTTAGGAAAAACAGCTCATATTTTTTCTGTTCTTTTTTTCTTATATTTTAGTTCAAAACCTGTTAGAGATCTCTCCTAAATTGTTGCAGGCTCAAGAAATGAATTTCAAATTCAGAGTATTGCACTAGAAAACTGGTTTTCTCAGTTGATGTGAAGTGTGCTCTATTATAATTAATAATTAACATTTTCTGTATTTTAAAATCCAGGAGGACGGGTCAAGAGTTGAAATATTTGCCGAGTATTGTGCTAAGAAGCGAGAACCTATTTGCGGTCAGTTTTTGAACTTGTTAAATGGATCTGATGGATTCATTGTGAATATGTCTGCCAGAATAATCGCCAAGATTGCCTGTTGGAACCCATTTGCCAATTTACGTGACAGCTCTGATTTCACTTTTACCTGAATCGGTTGAATGGACAATTAAAATTGAGTGTAAGTTAAATGGATCAATGATTTCCTGCTATTACTTCTAATTAATTCAGTAATGCATCTGTTGTCCTCAGAATTCTGTTTTTGCAGGTGCAAAAAGTTCTAAAGCATCTTGCCTTTGCCACATGATCCGGCGGTCTCTACTTCTTAGCAAAATTTTTGATGAGAAAAGAGAGAGAAAAAAAAGACATCACTTTTTTAAAATTGCATCACTCGATGCTGATTCTTGATGATTGCTTATTTCCTGTGATTGCTATTTTCCTACGATATAACATAAAATAAATAAGGAGCTAGGTGGCACAATGGTGTGGGGGAGCGCAGGTTGTTCTTCTGGAAAACTGATATTTCCATACAGCATACCATAAGGCACTACTGCACCAAAGGAGGAGTAACGTTTTGGGCCTTTTCCGGCCCCACCTGGATTTTGCTAAATGTTTCATATTTTCAAAGTACTAGTCTTAGGTAGACTCTGTGCCAAATATTAGACCGAACGGAGCCCATGCAAGGGCGCAGCAGCGCCTCAAACCCAAAATCCTGGAATCGAAAAACAATTATTTTCGTCGACTTTTTCGACTGTCATCACTCTTCCAGCACATGATTCTTATGTATTTTTTTGCGTACTTTTCGTACGTAACTCGAGGTTGTGACAATTATAATAATAAATCGTTCTGGATGTATGTAATTCATAGGTTGGCTGCCCTTTTGGGCCCTAACCTTGTTTGCGCAGGCATCGGTGAAGGCCTGATGGATTTAATTTTCTGAGTTTCACACCTGTCTATACTCTTGCTGTACAGGTACTCTAATGATTACCAGCTATATACTAAAGATTTTGAGATCATGGGTTTGACAAAAATGATAGATCAAA